AAATATCCGTTCCTCAACCAGGAAGGATAACTCCAAAAATTAATATTAATTGTGAAATGCATCAAAATGAAGCTTAAAAATGACATTTTTTCATGCAACAATTTTCATTTTATTCATCTTTATAAGATTCAAGGTCTTAGGAAGTATTAGAAAAGGTCTGATAAAAGTTGACATTTGTACCGTATAATAGGAGAAAAAATTAATACAGTTTAAGATAAATAAGATTTTCCAGCCTTAGATACCAATGATTATTAACATGATATGAAATGAGAAGTGTTCTGTGGTGATCAGTGGTGTCCTGCAATGATAGCGAAAGACTTTTACACTATCTATTATAGAATACATGATGGAAATAGAAGGAAAAAAAATACCAAATAAGTATGAAAATCATGACAATTTCCCTGAATGCCTGGATACCTATCGTTTTGTAACCTAAAATATATTTGCTGATCAGATTAGAAAATGTATTACTGATATTCCAATTCCCTTTTTCGGCAAAAATATGGGAGATATGACAATTTTCACTATATAGTTTGATTAACTTTAATTTATAACTTTAAAGAAATATTGTGGATAAATTTACTTAAATTATTTTTATGTGTATTTTCGATCACTAAACTGCTAATTTTATATACCTGAGGATCGGACTACCTTAATTACAAAGTAAAGGTTACATCTATTTTTATACATCATTTTGCAAATATTTTACGTGTTAAAGCCCTTAAATTATTTCAAATAATTGAATGCTATGAAATAAAGAAATTCTAAAATATGCACAAGAACCATTCCAGACAACACATCTCAATCATTTGATCATTGACCCCATATAATATAAATAAATAAAAAATCTAGAGTTCTTATCATTCAGATTTTTGTAATGTTCGATTAAAAATAGAAAAAAATAAAGATATGACAGAGGAAATTCGCACTGTTGTAATTATCACGTTTATGGCCCAAACTCTTATCATTTCTTTACATGAAGCAACTCTGTTTCATTGCTATAAAATTTCATTATTTAAAGAGTTATGTTGCTTGTAATATTTTGTGAGTGAAGAAAAATTGGTCACTGTTTGAAAAATTGAGATATTTCCCGAAAAATACTCATCTAGGAGCCACTAGCATGAAAGGAGATCTTCAAATTTAACACAAGAACAAGTTTGGCTTTCCCGAAAGCCTGAAATGTCATCTCTTTTGTATCAATAATGTCAAAGAAATAAAACAGAAAGGGAAATATTTTAATGCAATGAATATATGGATTATTACACCTGAAGTTCCCAAATTACTTATTCAGCAAACTCCACAGTAAAGTACGCAGTTTCTTTTGGCCGCAGTATGGAAAGCATGGACGTCTGCGAGAGCACCCAAGGCGATTTTTGGTTAAATTTCATTCTAGCGGTATTTGTGCTTCTGGGTGTTTACAATTTTATACTTAAATTCAAATTCTTTCCTTGAACTATATTTTCTTAACACAATACGGAATTAACAACACTAATCATCATTCATTTAAAAAAGCAGCTAATCATTAAAGTTTGACAGGAATTAATTTAATAATCCAATTACAGACTAAAAAATTAACATAAAATTAGCGTTGACCACTCTTCGTTCATTTTTTGCAGAATCTAATTGTAAGCTTGTTCTTTTGTGCGAGAACCAGTTTTCCCTTCGCGTCAACAAATCTATATATAGAAATCACGTCATTGTCAATTCTCCTTGTGTGGCTTACCAATTTAAGAAGGCATAGTATTGAGGATCAATATATATACGACACACCGAAACTATAGATATTTATAAGGATCGTACTTCTTTTCTAAATTTTACTTGGCTTTCAATAGGCCTAAACCGAAAGTAGATCACACACTGCTAAGCTAGTTCTTCTAAAAGAAAACCAGTTTACAGGCTACTTGGAACTCTGTAAAAGATCGAGGACTCCCGAAAGATTAATGGAGGCTTACACTAGGACTTTACTTCCGGCATACAATCTTAATGTGTCATCTCCCGAGGGAGATGACAATCATAGGTATACAATGTGCAATAGGTGGTTTTTCGTTCTTATCAGTAGAATTTTTAGTCATCTGAGTAAAGGTATACCTTAAGTTGTCTTAACAAGTACTTAATGTTCTGTCTCCAGATGCGCTGTGACAAAAGAATCTTGCTTTTCAAATTTTTAATCCTATTCATACTTAGAAATATTCAAACAGACACATTTTTGCTAACATATTCTTATCTATGCTGAAAAAAATTAATTATCGAAGGAGGAATGGGCCCAGAACAGAGAGAATCAAAACTCCGCTTAGTCACTGTGGGGCATATAGTATTTGTCACTCAATATCACTTTAGAAACCTATATATATCTGCATTAAGGTGTGTGGGACATACTAAATTAGAGATATACATATCTAGCCGGACATTATTCTCCAATAAATCACGAACGTCATCATAAATTATCAGATCAGAAACATGATCTGACATGTTTCATGATTCCCTTTTCATGACCTTTTCCTTACACCTCGGGTCGGGCACTCCGTGCTGTAATAGTTTCTTATTCCATCTGTCTGGCACCATAGAAGTCAGCTAACAATTGCTCTGAACTCTCCATATCTCACCATACACACTATCTAGAGCCTCGAGAATGTTTACTTTTTTTCATTACTTTTGAATATTTTGTTACATTAGAAACGGATGTAATAGATTATTTAACCAACATGTTAATCAGGCATTTAAGACAACAGGCCTTCCCTTAATCATTCCTTATTGTTTGCTTTACCGCAAATCTTAACTATGGGCTCTGACCATGTTAAAAATGCCATTTTATCGAACTTAAGACACGTTGCTATGATAACTATAACATATAGCGGCCAATTTTTGCCCGATTTTAGTTTAGAATGTCAAATACTTTTATCATATAGAGTCTGGAGGAATTCTAAGCCTATGTCTCATGCAGCGTGGCACAGGTACTATATAAATTTGAAGTCATTACAGAAAATAGCTCTTAAAATTCACCCTTTTGAATTAATTTTTTTAATATTCAAGCAGTGAGAACATACAACTTGTTTTTCTCATATGACTTTTTAATGTGTAGATAAAGGTTATAACCTTATTGTGTAACATTTTATGAAACTGTTAGGTATTGAAATTATAATTATTCATGGTCTTTGTAAAAGTTTTCATGGCCTTCTCTTGAAGCTGAACAAGACTCCTACAATGAATCCAACATATTGTTATTTGTCCTAACTCTTATCTCAACACTTGGGTATAGAAACCCATGGCAATCGAAACACCTGCCGGGAATTAATATCTTTCATTTTCCTTTTACTTTGTGTTTTATTTCTTTGAAGTATAATTCATGGTTACGTCATTTCACATTGTAATGCATTGACCTGTGCAGCTTATATCAAATCTTTGCAGAATGTTTTCTGATTTGATCAAAGAGATCTTTTGCGTCAAAGTATATTACAATGACAACAAAAAATTCCTTTAAACATTGGTACATGTACGTGAACAAAGTATTAGGATTTTAAAGGGTTTAAGGTCGATCTAAAGACGACAAATTTGGCGGATGAAATATCTGTCTTCCATTTTGTGGATTGTACTTTTGAGACCATGATATCTGTTTCAGGCTTTGTTTTTGTCGGTGGAAATCCTATTTGACTGACAACATTCTGTTCTATAAAAAAAAATGAGAAAAATAAAGTTGCATAATGCAGGCTATATGTTATTTAAAACCCTCCGTGGGTTGTCAGCTGATAAGAATAAGCCTTTTATTTGATATCCAAGGTAAACAGAAATATAGCCGCCAGTCAAGATAATCGATAATAAGAACCTTGGCCTACAACGTGACTAAATTGAAGTGCAGAATGTCGGCCCTTTGATAATTGTACAGTTAAAAATAAGGCTTCCATCATGTGTTTTTACTGAAGGACACTTCAGGTAAATTTTTATCAAAAATATTAAGTCCTGTTTATATGTGAAGTATTCCAACGTTGAACATTTGTAAATTAAATTAGATTGTTTTTTTCTATATATACCCTGAAAATGTTGAAAAATGACGACAAAAAATATTATTTTTATGAAATTAAAATCTTGGCAAAGAATATCTCATTTTAACTTTTATTTCACATTTGACATGTTTGATCTCGATAACATTCATATAAAAATTACTTGATGCTCTCTTTATTCACAATATCTATCAGAATATTTAATTTTCAAAATGTTGTAAGTGTCATGGTACGATTTTTAACCTATCTATCTAATTGACGATATATAATATTTATGCGTTCTGGAAATCATGTGATACCCTTCAAAGTACCGACTATGTACACCCAATAGTTGCTAACACATACTTTTATGCTTTTATTATTGTACTAATATGAAAACATATACACATTAAAAAGCATTGAAATCCCAAAAAAACACAAGGAAAATGAAATTTAACTAAATTTAAAATAGAGATATAGTGAAGACACTGTATCTTTACCGTCACTGTACCATAGGGCCTTCGCCATTGCAGCATTGAACCTCCGCTATAGCGCCATTGCCTCATAGATTTATCGCTTTAATTTGTCAATACATATCGTAATCGTGCTCTCACACAATCGCTTCACCGTTATCATGCCATCACATTACTTTAATTTCGAGGTACTATCACGCCATTGCACAATCGACCCAAACTTCGATTACGAGATAACGAAATACATACATGTAGCCCTATTCGGATTCCATAGAAAGTGTTAAAAATCATTATGCATGGTAAATAAATAAGGAAGAGACAAACTATCACAATCACCTGTGTAATGAAAAGGTAGTTATATTATTATATCATTTTTAATTTATAATTCTTTCTACCCTGTAAAGCTTGAGGAGACCATTTGTCGTGATTTAAACAATAACATTACCAGACTGGTTTATAATTAGTAATTGTATAAATAGAGCCACAAGTTTCCTTGTTAAAGGTCCAATATTTTATCAAACATATATAAAGCGAAGCGTAGACCAAAGGTACTTGATAAGGATGTCAGAAACGCATACAATGTGATATGTTTGTGAATTGTAACTAAACACACTCCGTGTGAGTAAATATTAAGTACATTTTAAAATTTCTATTTGACTATGTATAAATTAACTAATATTTAAAAAAAATCCGATTGAACAAGACATACATGTACAGACATGCATTCGTATTTAAAAAAGTTAAATAGACCATTAAATTTACTATTGAGTTCGAATTTTAAAGATATTTAAGTTTATCTAGCGAGTATTTGTAAGCTTTATCAACATAAGTTTTAATTTTCTTTCCTTTGGTAGTGATTTTGTTGTATTTGTTCTGTCTTCTTGTTGTAATTTAATAGTGAGTTTTTTTTTTTTGGTTTGTATTTTTTTTTTCTATTTTTGATGTTTATTTTTTTTTTACCTTTAAGCAAACACCAGTTAAATTATCAAACGAGAATCTTTTATTATAAAAAAAAATCTCTTAAATAGTAAGAATTACTTTATGCACACAATTTCTTTTCTTCTCTTTTCTCTTCTTTTCTTCGAAAGTAACTGGCGTCCATTGGCAAAAAGAAATAGAATTACGAAGCAGTGACCAATCTGCTATACTCTTTTATCCAAATATACATAACATATATATATTGTGTTTAATTGTTCTGATATCCAGAGGCAAGAGAGACAAACAAACAGACAGACAGGACAAAAACAATATACCTTCAGGATCTTTTGATCCGGGGGATTTAAAATATTGAAATAAATCAAACTGTAGTTATATCAAATCATTCATTGTAACGATCACTCTATTTCCTCCTTGGACTTTTTAAAATAAGGTATCCTTGCAAATGTAAAATGTCAAGTTTTCTCAATTCTATCTTTAATAAATCGAGGATAATATACACATTTTTCCAGTCTGACGACAAGAAAATAGTAATTATTGAAAATGGATGCTGTGTTGAATAAGTCCATATCTATGATATTAGAGCACCTATTACATCATAGTCTTGATAGTGTCACAAATTTGCACGCAGAAAAACCGTACAATATATCTGATAAGAAATCAAAAGCCCAACTCAACGTGTTGAGCATTCTATTCATCTGTCCAAACTGATTGTGAACCTTACGCCAATCCGAGGATGCAAAAGTGGGTTTATTTTGATTGGATTGTTCATAATGGCTTAGACAAATATACGGCTTCTTTATCAAAGAATCAGTTTGTGGGCGGGACTCGTGCTATGGTCGAGAACTCGTCCAACCAAATTAAGATTAATAAGAAAGAGAAGTGGTTAACTTTTAAAAATAATACGCATGACACGCTTGGATATTGCATTCTTGTATAGAACATTTTTTTTTCATTTATAATAACTAAAATTCATTTAAATGGTAGAAAAGATGAGAAATAAAATAGATAAAAAGAAATCATACTGACAATGAGTATTTTCTCCTAAACTTTAATATCCAATGACTAAAACATACACGGAACATAAATTTTTAAAGACAACCTGATTAAAAATTCACATACATTATTATCAAGAAATTCGAGATACCCCCACAGAGAATTTTTTTTAAGTAGAAGAAACAATGACACCTAGATATTGCCCTTTTGATTGAAAATCTTTTGAATAGGATCAGATTTTAAAGCCAGATCTACCAATTATTTTTTTTTAACAATGGTTATTATTATCAAATCTGAAAATAGTGTGTACAGTTTTTGCCAAAAATATGACATAATAATTTAAACCTTACCTCCCTTATATGTACAAGGGTTGTCCAAAAAGTTCGCGGACAATGACGTTTTTGTCAAAATAAATGGTTCTATATGCATCTATTGTATATCAAAATATTTCTTATGAAAAACCAAGTCAGAATGATTTAATTTGTATTTAGAAAACTTAATATTTTTGTAAAAATCGGGGTCTTAAAAGATAGCAGATTATGCGCACGGACCAGTCTGACGTTAAGCTATTTTCATTATAACGTCAACAATTTGGATTTTGACTTAACAAATGTTAGGGACATACACTTCATATCTTTTTTTAAGGAACAACACACTTCCAAGCTAGCAATTATCTTTAAGTAGAGATCATGATTTATTTAATTTTTAAAATTCAAAACAATGAACAAAATTTATGAGCGTCATCTAAATAAACAGGTTGTATACACAAACTGCACAGTCCAGTTTGACGCTGCGCTAGATTTATAACAATGTCATGAATAGAAATCTCCATTTCAGTAAATAACATGTGTTTTTAAAATTCGTGTAGTATCTCCGAAATTGTGCACACTGTTGAAAAATCGTATATACCAATCTAAAATTGATACACTAAAATATGTTTCAATAATTTTGAGTTGTTTTAACAAATATTTTGTCTCTTACGTTGTTTCAAACGTATAAAAACTAATTTTTTGATTGGAGCTGCCCCGTGCTGACGGCCTAAGTCGCTCCTTTTTGTCGAGTTTTGACACATATTTGTTAGGGTTTTTGTTTAGTATTTGTACCGTCTATATAGTAAGCGATACTTAAAATATCATAAAATGGTTTTAGCTTCTTTATCTGTGTTACATAATTTTTTTTATTAGTTTTTGACTTGTCTTATAAAGAAAATAATCATTTTAATCCGAACACTTTATACAAGAGTTTATGTCATTTTAACCTTGGTCCGTTTAAAAACTCCAATTTTTAAAAAAATATTACGTTCCATCAAGAAAAATTAAATCATTTTGATTTTTTTTTCATAAGATATATTTTGATATATTTTGATATACAAAAGATTAATTTAGAACCATTTATTTTCACCAAAACGTCATTGTCCACGAACTTTTTGGACAACCCTCGTATATTTCATATTGAGTTCCAGAGCATAGATCAAAGCACAATAAGTAAATATCTTCATTTTCATTAAATGGAAAAAATAAATATTGTCAGATATTTATAAAGAACTTATGCCCTGTTCACGGAGAGTTTAATTCAAATAAAAAGTTACTGCGAATTAGCTTTGCTTAGCGTTCACACGGAGAATTAAATGCTTCTTAGTTTAATTCGAATCAATTTAATGCGCATTAAATTGCTTTGCATTATCGCCATGTGAAAGCTAAGCGAAGCTAATTTGAATTATAAATTTTGACGCATGCATCAGGCCAGAATTAAGTCACAGGACACATGTTGAGGGTTTGATATAGGAAACTTTGTTTCATTTAGTTAAAAAAAAACAAGGAAAAGCATGATAATCACTAACCCCCTGTTCTCACAGAGCTGCGACTCAACGGCGATCATCCCGAACAAGCCACGATCTGAAAAGTTTTTGGATCGGGGCAGATCGCAGCCGATCGGCGTCTTAATGTAGCAATTTGGCAAATTATGGTCTTCGTTACGACCGAACAACGATGTTCCTACGTCAAACGCCTTGCTAACACGCTTCTACTACGATGTTACGCAGACCAATGCCCACACACAGCCGTGTGTAGTGCGTTTACGCTACGCTGCCACTACGACATTGAAGACAATACTACGACGCTACAAAGACCTAGATGACTGTACCGCGATGTCGTTACGGTGGTGCCGATCATATTACGATTGCATTACGCTTCTAGTACGATTTTAGCGATGGAAATATATTTTGCAACCGCAGATTTTTGTAGTACGATACATATCTTGCGACCACAGTTTATTTCTGCGGCCTTTACCACATGGTTTAAGGGCATTTCAAGTCTAAATGTAATAAGATGTGAAAATGCTCAATTGTAAATGATCATCAAGTATAATGTCACCCTTTACATGCAGTTAACAGATAATGATTGGTCAAATATCAGCACTATAAGAACAAACTCTTGTCTGATAGGTCGTGATAGGATCGGCGTAAGGTCATTGTAGGATCTTCAGGAACGTAGAGAGATCGTTGTGAGAACGTCGTACGAACGTAGAGGGAGCGTTGTATGAGCGTGCTTGGTAAGTTCCTACGCTCTCACGGCGCTTTTACTACGATCATGAAAATCTCTCTACGATGCTTCCGCGCTGCTTGTACGATTACGGCGCTTCTACTACGCCCTTTTTACGACTTCACCCCGATTCTTGTTGGCCACGATCCCGCTACGCTTGTTTTGAACATGTTCAAAATAAGCGTGGTGAGAGCGTAGAGCTCTCCGATCATGAAGACTCTACTGCGATCATACTACGCTTCTGACGACCCCACGACGTTCCTCCTGCGATTTGTCACGATTGGCCACGCTTTTGACCACACTTTGATCGTAGTAGAAGCGGCGTCTATGTGTGAACGGGGAGGGGGGGGGGGGGTAAGTGAATACCTGTAGGCACTGTGATCATTTATGTCAAATGGATGGCTCTGCACACATAACGTGTTTTACAAATGACGTCATAATAGCCTTACTGAGTAGCCTTTTTGTAGAAATAGAATTTTAATTCGCATAAGTTTACTTCGCTTTAGCTGCCTTGTGAACGCAATTTGATTCGCAGAGAAAAAAAAAAAAACTTTTAGTTAAAATTGAAAGACGGTTACAGTGACTTTCAGTCGCCATTCGAACAGGTACTGAATAGCAAGTACATTTGAATGTCCTTTCAGCTACAATTCATGCACCTTTCAGTCTACATTAAGCGGATAACACATCAACTATTTTTCAGTAACCTCTCTTCCCTCTCTGTTGTCTCACAATTGTAATTTTTCATTGGTTTTTCATTAGTTTGTCAAAAAGTAATTCCTTCACAATTTATTTATTTTTTTTACATCTTCAAATGTGTTTTATAATTGTGATAAAGATATTCAGGAACGTAGAACTGTAACGATGGCTGTGTAGATGTTAAATTGATGTTTATTAAAATGTTAAATTTTGATTATAACTATATGTATTTATATTTACATTTCATATGTTTTTGCATATACAGTGAATGGAAATCTATTGCATTCAAAACACCATAAAACAGACCTGGTGTCAAGAGGTTAAAACATGCATTTTAGTTTGACGTCATAAGAGCTGAACGCCTAGATAGTACGACTTCACAAGCGAAAATAAAAAAAAAATGGCTCAAATTGAACAGAAGCTGTTACGTTGGCTGATCCATAAATGTAGCTAACACGAAGGATAACACATAGGTTTTAAAATAGAAATCACATTTGTAGTCAAGGTAGAAAGTAAGGGAAATGTAAATATAATCAATGAATCATTATTTTTTTAAAGATATAGTCTCAATAGATTGTGCAATAATTTTTTTATAACGCACTATTACGCCTTTCTCAATTTGTTTTGCACACCTCGTTGCAGTTTTTCTTCGAATTTCTTGTTTGTATTATGAAAATTGATTGATAAGAAAAGAATTATTCAAATGATTTCTAAAACTCCATTGATTTTGAAACCCGTTCTTGCGTCATGAATAATTCCACAGACTAGCAAGAGGAGGACATCCTTCTGCAAGCAATTTGTTATACCCCAATGTTGAAAATCGGGAGAGTATATAGTAGCCGGAATGTCTGTCTGTTTGTCCATCAGTCTGTCCGTCCGTCTGTTACGCATAGGGGTACGCCTCTCTTATCCTCTACTCCTCTCATTGCTTGAAATTTGGTGAAACTTTTACAGGATCTTTATTATATATTGCCTTTGTGACCTTTTATTTAACTTTTTGATCCGAAACACATATAGGGTTTTCCGTAACAAAATATGAACACTGCAATTAAATTCATATGGAAGGCGGGATATCATTTAGTGAGCTCATTGTTCACAGTATCTCCACTTTTTCTCACCTTTTTCATTTTCTTTATTTGTACAAAAATTAATTTACTGTAAAATCACATATTTTCGATGGGTCACATTTAGTGGTTTAAGGAAAATGTATGATTGTGTAGGGATTTAATTTCGTGGATGGACATAAATTTGTGAGTCTCTCCATACCTTGAAAACAACGAAAATTACCCCCCCCCCCCCAAAAAAAAAAAATTAGTGATTTCACAGCAATATTATTGTAATTTGAAAACGCATATTGATGGCATATTACTTAAAGTCCTTCTACTGAATTTTCTATCATATTGTTGCGCCACCTCTTACATGTACCGATTGGGGATTGCAATTTTGACCTGTGCTTGGAACCCATGGCCATTTAGCAGTGAGGTATCTTTTTCGAGTAAACACATATTGCAACACAGGATCTCGATTTATACTGTTTCATCCTAATGACTGGTCCCGTTTTAGATTCGATCATGCGACGTAAAAATTAAATCCTTACTCCGCGACTCAGGAGCAGGCACTCCAACCAATTCACAATGCAGGAGAGGAAAATCGCATATAAAATGTCCAAGTAAAAAATAAGCCAAAATCGATTTATTCAATAAAAAGACACAACTGAATAATAACAGAAATGCCTCTCAAATCTATCAGACATTTAGTATACCGAAGAATTACTGAAAGCTCAATGAAAAGTCAGTAAAATGCTGTCTATTGATATTAAGAGAGATTTCAGTTACATGTAACAATCCTTCGACTCGGTGATTCATTTTCATCCTTTGCTGCTTACTGGTTATCAATTTTTTCTGCTACAGCTGCGATTAATATTTTTGTACTACAAACCAAAGAAAGCATGTAATAATTTAAAAATAGTTTCAAAGGTAATTCACGGATTTGCTAAAAGCAAAATACAATTTTAAAACAAAGTTTTAAAATAATGAACATTTAATTTGAAACATAGTCGTACAATAATATCAAGACCTAAAACAATGTTAGAAGTTTGACAAAAAACGATAAAGAACTTTTAAGAGGACAAAGATAATGTAACTAAAAATTTGGAATTGAATTTACGGTATTCAAAACACAATAACACGGACACGGGATCATAAGGTCAATGATTACATACGTTGTTGACGTCACAAATGTTGCAAAACGTAAAAGTGCAACGACATGACTGAAAATCAAATATCACGTTCATTGTATACTCTCAGTATTTACATGTTTAATTATTGATTTTGTTTTGTATGAAGAAAACTGCATATTTATATATGTTTTACAATATTATAATTTTCAGCTAGCAGTAGTTAATATAGAGTTTGTTTTCTGTTATTATTATACATGCATGTAAGAAATATTTCATATGTGTAAAGAACAATTGTTTTGTTGGAAACCTTTGATGCCTATATTAACTACAATTTTTGTTTATTGGTCATATTTATTTTGATCCATAAAATACAACCTCAAAATTCATTTGTCTTTTGTCCTTTTTCATATCATTTGGGAAAAGAGGCTTAAATATAAATTTAAGCAATAAAACATTACATTTGAAAGATATGGACTAAAACATGCAACGGTGTATGCAAACAAATTGAATAACGCGTGTATGCACACACGGTTGCAGTTCTAAGACAAATCTTTAAAAAAAAGTTATGATTCATTGCTTACATATCAATCCTTGACGAGATAATGATGATAAACTTTTGTAGAACCTTAAGGAAAGTCACTGCAGTAGCTTTATCCTAAATGCTGAAAATTGCAATCAATCTGAGTAGTATGTGTCATATCAAAAACAGAAGAAGGATATGGAGATAGCGTACAGTATTCAATATCAAAGTCCATAAAACAATACAAAATAGGAGAAGAGCAAACACGGACCACCGAAACATCAGAGGTGGGATCAGGTGCCATGGAGGAATACGCATCCCCTGCTGATCGGTCACACCCGCCGTGTGCTCCTTGTCAAGATCGGGAAATAACGGAAGAATCCGTCGTCAATTCAATGTTTAAATAATGAACTAACAATTATTTGACTCAATGATAAATTGTATTTGCTGACAAGGTCATTGTTTTGACCATAGAATTTACGAAATAATTACTTTAAATGAAACTGCTGAAAGTCTTGTTTCATCAACTTGCTTATCATTAAACTTATACGGCCTCTATTATGGGTTTGTCTTGTACATGATATATGAACTTGAACATACATCATTTTAACCATTTGCTAGCGATCACTTTTTGTTTACTTTAAAACGATCGTATCTGATTTTTTTTAGATATCATCTTATTATTAAGACTACAGTTTAGATAGCAGAAGGCTGTCTCTTTAACTTTAAAATTAACCCCATAGGAATGGTGTACGGTTACAGGTAAGATTATTTATTTAATTTTTTATCTCTGTTCATTTGACATACATGGGGGTATATTTTTAGAGATTGTTTTCTGAAAACTTGTTTAGAACCATTCGTGCAACCAAAAAGACTGAATTTCCTAGTTTTAAACAAAAGAAAGAATGTAATAGTCAAGATCCATAATTAGCGAAGACTTGAAATTTTATATTGGAGATGTAGCACATATGATTTCACTATTTTCAGAAACACCCTAGCTATGATGAAAGTCTTTCATACCATTTACTCAAATTAGTCAAAAATTGGTTGAAATGTCTCCTTGTCAACCCGTAAATATGTCTTAAAATTTATAAATAGCAGTTTCCAACTCCAACATGCGCATATCCCATAGTTATTATTTCCAGAAATAAAAACAAGTGGCAATGACTCTAGAAGATCTGGATTCCATAACAAAAAAAACGATTACAGTATCAGACCAAAAAGAAAAGGTTTTCTAATCAATCAAAATGGACGATTCTGTTAAAAATGCTCGCAATAGAATATGCTTTTAAAAATAAATCTTATTTACGAAGAAAAGACCCATTTTCTAACAAAGGTTAATTAGCAAGTTATTCACTAAATTACTATCTGTCCTAACTGTAAGCTCTTTTGTAAACGAGGGCCCTGACCTAATATCTTAAATGCATGATAAACATGTTTTGAAAACATAAATTCCGTACTATTGAAACAAAGCAACAATAGTGTAATAATTTAACTCAAATATTTTTAAACAGAGACTCAGAAATAAAGGCAATTATAGTTTGAAATGCTTCCAAATGCAAACAAACAAAAAAGATCCTTGTACATGTAACCAGTACCAAAGACTAATTACGATATTTATCAATGATTGGCAAAGGTTGACATATTTTCAACATTGTAAAGAATTACTAATTCTCGTCATCGAAATATTTAAATGTCGTTTTGAAGGCTACAGCAAATGTTTTTTTTTTCTACTCATGAAGACATTTAAAAAAAATGACTGAAAAAAGGTAAAGACATCGAACAGTGATCGATCTCACAAAATCTTTAAACCATACAAATACGTGACGATGGCATAATTATGGACACCTACAAACCCCATTGGTCAGATCAGATGCCTGAGAGGAGTAAGGATATCCTGACAGCCGGTCATACTCGTCATGAGCCCTATGTATGGATTAAGTACACGTAGACGGAGCATTCTGTAGTAAAAAAAATGATAATCAATTTTAATTTGAACATTTTATCAAAAGTACGACGGTACGACCCAATAATTGGTTATATTTGTAAACATGGCCATTAAATCCATCAAAGAATTAAGGAAATGTTGACTTAATTCAAACAAGGTTGTTGAAATCCGTGTAATATAAACCTCTCTGTAACCTGCCTGAATCCAAACAGATCTAACTGGAAGCATTCACGTAAGTAAGATTGTTGGTAGATGTGAAAAAAACATATGCAGGTGATAGCGCGCCGTATATATGTATACATGTAAGTTCAATAATAGGAGAAGTTAAAATGGAAAGGTTTAAGTCATTTGTTTTAAATTGACTGTTATCGTTTTTAATAAATAAATCATTCGAGTATGAAACAGTCCTTATAGAAAAAATGCCCTCAAAATTTCTTTCTTTTCATTTTAAAAATGGTTTCAATTATTGAAAAGTACGAATACATCACAACATTTTTGTAACTACCCTCGTTGTTTGTTGTTCATCACGTGTACATAAATTTGTTTTGTTTTTTTGTTCGTGTTGGAGAGAACATTCTAAGTTGGAATAACTTGTGTCCAATCCATTGAATATGTTTCAATAAAATATGTTTAAATCAAATCAATGATTTGCTTTGGCTACTGAACCTTTTCTTTTTGATTAGAAGCCAGCCTGGCGACTAAAGGTTTGCTTTGGCGAATTAATCTTTTTGATAAGAAGCCAGTTGGCGCCTGAATTATAGAGGTCACATAGAGGCTTGCAATATCATTACACAAAATAAAACATAATTGGAACAGCGTTCTTACAGTAAAATTATCCGCTAAACAGTTAACTTATAAACTATTACAGTACGAATTGTCTCTGTTTTATTTCTATTTTTTTTTATTTCATTTTTTAATCGAATTTTACAAATCGAATGATAAGAACTCTATTTTTAGTTTCTTGTTTACTTTTGTTGCCCTTATTTTATGGTATTTTTATTATATAGATATGTTGTCTGGAATGGTTTTTGATTTTTATTATTTCATGGCATTCAGTAATTTGAAGAAAAATATCAGAATAAAAATTAAAAAGAATAACCCCCAATTTCCTCTGCAATACCATCATTTTTTTTCTTTTTTAATTGATGATAACTTGCAAGGATATTCAAAAATACCTTTACTCTTTCTCTTTTCAATAATAAGAAAAAATATTTCCATTTTTGTTGTAGGAAATCATCCAGATATAATGACTACACATGTGAGAATCATTTACAGTATCCGATTTGTTTATTCTGATGGCAGAGAGACAGCCACTTCTTTGCTCTATGGAAAAAAAGTTCTGTGTTACGTTTTAGATTTTGTGATGGCAAACGACATTACAGCATACCTGAGTGTACATAAGCCTGGTAATTATGTTTTCCCATTGAATACTTCATGAAAATGTACATTATTTTTTCAAAGTCATTTTTTTTATCAAAAGAAAATGACCAAACATGACCCAAAACTATTACTTTTGTTCGGTCACTCTTCCATGAATGAAACATCCTGCTATTTCTTCCACCATAAGACTAAAGCCCCTTTTAGGTATTTATTAACGTTTCTATTTTTTGCTGTTTACATTTACTTGTTACATTGCGATAAGAAACAAAGCAAAATCTAATAAACCAGGATATTGCATTTTGCGTTATTACATTTTCAATACAGAATATAATAACACAAAATGTAATAAGGTGATTTTTAGATTATAATTTAAAATATCATTTTCTGTTCTTATATTTTCTGTTGTGATTTTAATACAAAATGTAATAACGTGCGTTTTTCTCTGTTTCATTTTGCGTTTATTTTTTTTATTTTTACAGTGAGAGCAATGCAAAATGTCATTGAAAAGGATGTAATAAAACAAATATTTTTTTTTTTATATTTTGGATTGTTTTCACGAAACAATTCGTAAAATTAATTTAAACAAATGACACATGGTAGCTCATCTAACAGAATAGACAGACAGAACTATGACATTGCGTAAAACATTCAACTTGTCCTTCACAAACATTACTGACTCTAATTGAAACTTTTTCTAACTCTGTTTTTGAAACATTTATTGAATACTTATAAAACATGAAATTAACTTTGAATGACTTGTCTCTTTATAATAAAATTAGTCTGTTTCAAATACCCAATGAATGGCATTTATAATTCCAAAGATTTGACCATAGGTCCATTAAAAGCTGTTGATATGGTTGCACGACATGCATGTTTACATAGTTGTGCTATTTCGACGTGTCTAGCGATGAGAGGCAGTACTGCAATGTTGGTATTTACACCGTATGTTGATTATTGTATTTCTATGCATATGCACGAACCATCCTGCTTATTATTGGAGAGAGAGAGAGAGAGAAAGAAATGAAAAATATTTTTTTTTCTGTTTATCTGCAATGCACGTGATTTGTAAAACAGTATGAAATCATAATTATATAAAATTAAACCTCTCCGCTTTAAATTAACACCTACCAATACATATAAATATTTTTTTAATGAATTGATTTATATGTAGCTTATATTTATTTTTCCATTTGTTCATTTTCTTCCGATTTTTTACTTCACCCACTACTCAGTAAAAAATTATTCTCAACATGCTTGAAAAAAGAATGGATGGACGTAACTGGCCAGAAAAAATGCCGCAAATTTAAGTTTCATAAAATGTTTATTTTTTCCATCATATAAACCACCGATATCTTAACCGTGTATTCATGGTACGGATGTGAATTTAAAACGCTCTTTTCGAGGTAAACTAAATAAATATCGAAGGCATGATGCCTGAAGATTTCTTGAATATCAATAGATAATCAGGGTCCCGCGTTTTTCATCGTCTGCATACATAGTCAGCACATGGTTGTCGGCTGTTCTTAAGAAAACTGTAGTTGTATATTGAACAAAATAATGTTATATTAGAAGGAGAAGAGCCGACAAATGTGTGCTCATACTTAATTTAACAAAAAAACATATTCAGAACCAACTTCTCGCTTCCATTGTTATGTCTTCGATTGACCTGTTAAATATTACAATTCATCACGTGATGTCCACCTGCGAGTGTACTTGTGAAAACAGTTACATTGTATTCTTCAACCTGACCTCATGTCTTTGAGCGTGTTTTGTTGCCGTTTTCAGAATTTAGCAAATTTAATATTGTTTTAATTTTGCGTGTCATCACATTTTTAAAATAATTTCATACTGACATCTCTGTAATGTGCTAAACACGTACTCGTATTTTTGGAGAGAGAGAGAGAGAGGGGGGGGTAGAGAGCTGTCATCAATGACGCCGATCGATAGCCCCGCCTCCTATAAATATTGATTGTGTGACATAAAAACCACTCCGGGTACATGTCGAATTCCGGAAGACGACACTCATGTATAGTTGCTTCAATTTTGATACATGACATCAGGGCACTGTTTTTGCACAAACGATCCACCTAATATTACCAAGTATATGTAGCTCTTTCCATTGCTCGTAATATATTTTGGATTCACTTCATTTACAGCTTGGTAGAAGAGTCGCAAAAAGATCCAAAAGAGGGCGTTAAGTCCACCCATTCTTTCCTATCCTTAAATTTTTAGCGATGATTTTAATAATTAAGAACATATCGCTAAATTATTGTATCGGTAACATTTTACTATAATGGTGTTTTATTTTGCGCCTAAATCGACGCAAAATGTAACAAAGCAAAATGTAATAATTTAAAAAACCTTCTATTGAATTATTTGTTTTTATATTCTGCATTGATATTACCGCAATATGCAATAACAAAAAATAAAAAATACCTCTTCATAACATTTGACGATGTTATTACGTTAATTTGGTGTTGTAACTAACCCTTTTAAAAGGTTGATCAATATTGTAACGACTGAGTGGCCAAAGTATTGCAACAAACACGGCATCGTGCAAAAAAAAGGAGAAAATTGTCTTCTTAATGTCAAGATCTAGTAAATGGAATGTGACTACAGATTTTTCAAATTTAAGAAATTAATTCTTTTAATGATTCTTTATGACATTAGTTTGGTCAAAATAGGAGTTTTGGGGCATAATTTGGAGAAAAACAAGATGAAAAAAATTTTTACACTGTCATTTTCAACGAGAAATTAAGAAAACCAGTATTGAAAATGGGAGTTTTTTCCATATCAGACAAAGAAAATGTATCCAGATTGCCTACAGTTTTTCAGAAAACGGTTTTTTGTATGTTCTTAGTCTCTACTTTAAAATAATGTGAAATTTAAGATAGATATCGGGACTACTTTTCATGTGATTTCAAATTGAACTCCATGAAAATACTTTATTTTCTACATAATTCTATTAGAGCCGTAAAGTATGGGAAAAAGAAAGTTGAAAGTGATTATGACGTCGTAATGGATTTAGCACTGAAAAGTTATTCTAAAGTCATTGACTAGATCTTGACCTTAATTAATTGAAAGGAGAATGTCATATTTTTTAAATCAATGTAATTAACAACAATAAAATAAATGAAGCATTGGACATGCATTGTAATTGAGTAGGTCGACGTTTGGTAAATGTTTCCAGAAAACAATCCTCTTAGTGACAAATGAAAGTAGGTATTGGAAACTTTGTCGAATCCTTGTCAATCGCCGACAATCTCCTGGAGATATAACATACCAAAAGGGTATGTGACACAATGCATAAGGAATATTGTAAGTTAAAGTAATTGACTTAATTATTTTTTGAATATTTATTTATGTATCCCATATATTACAATGATGACGTCAGCCATGTTTGTTGCTTTTGACCTCTCAGAGAAGTCCTTGGTCTCTGATATTGAAAAACTAAACTTTCTCGAACAACACGTGTTGATATACCTGTACCTGATAGGAACGTGAAAGTGATTATTCTATTATTTTTTAAGCCATTTTTTTACGATTATTTTTTAAGGAGCAAATATCAACAAATAGTTCATGTGAAAACGGTTGAAACATTGTCCATAGAATAAAACAAGAGGCCCGTGGGTCACATCACTTACTTGAGCTGTGTATAAACCAGTTAAGCATTGAAACCTACAAATTCGGTAGTTGTCTCGACTTACCCCTAGGTAGGGGTATGATTTGAACGAAACGGAATCTACATTAAAGGATACTAACATGATTTGAACAATTCTGATTCTACACATGTGTGGATGCTTCCATATAACAATCACAGTTCTTGAAAAGAGGATTTAAAAAGCCCTAATAAATGTATTTCTGTGTTCAAGTATAACTTCATCAACTGTGGTCCCCACCTATTCCGAGGGTGTCAAAATTTCAACAAACTTGAATCTGAATATATTTATAAGCCACTGAATATTTTCATAAGCCATGCCGTCATATGTTTAATATAACGTTAGGAAAATGGCCAACATATAAAATTTCCATGATTTGTACATAAAAAATGTGCATTTTACGTCAATATTTCAAAGTAAAAATCACTGAGTGCAGACCTTTAGTTCAAAATTTTGATATCCGGTGTACATGTAGAATAATTAAATAACTGAAATATGTAAGTATTGTTCTGGAGCATGCCTAGTCCTGCCCTTAATATATGTCACGTTTTATAGCAAAATTGAGTAGATTTTGTCCGTTTTTTTTCTGCCCTCAATATAATACAAAATCTAAAAAGCTTTTGACGTCATAAAAACAATAATTGTCAATAACCTATTTTTATTATATAGTTTTTGTGAATTAATATTTCTCATACAATAAATACAATATATACAGACCATCCTTAGAAATTTTCAATAGATGAGTTTTAGGGGGCAAAAATATACCACATATAGCTCTTTAGATCTAAATACATGAGTGTATTTCATTATAAAAAAGATGAAAAACGTCTTTACTCTTCTCGATATTAATATTCAAAATGCATGGAAGATTTTAAACCCATCCTTCATCCGAGGGTTATGATGCGAATAAACAGTTCCTTTTAAAGATTTTCCCAGTGTTATTCCTAGGTAAAACTTTTGTCTATTTTAGTCCCATCCGGGGGGGGCATGATTTGAACAAATTTGAATTCACACTACTTAATGATGCTTTCATATAATTATTACCAATTTTATCGTTTATGAGAAAATTTTTCATTTCACTGTTACATTTTGATCGTCCATTGTGGCCATTCCCTACCCTCTGGGGATCAGATCTTGAACAAACTTTAATTTACGCTATCTCAATTTTCACATGAGCTTCATCTTTCCCGGCCAAATGATTAATGAGAAGATATTTTAAAAGATCCAATTATTTTTTTCCTAACTAGTAATTATCTGCCGTTGAAAGGGGAAACATTAATTTTGGCCCTTCATTTGATCGATTCCGAATCCCTTTTACCCAAGGATGTTCTGTGTCAAGTTTGTTCGTAATTAGCCCATAGATTTTGGAGAAAGTTTATAATGTGAAAAAGATTACAGACAGACAGACAGTCAGATAGACTGCAGACAGAAGATGATCACAAAAGTCACAGGTGAGCTGATAAGTAATCCAAAACATTCATCGAACGAAGTACAACATGTTGTTTTGCTCACTAATTGAACTAATTTTGTTTTTTCTTTTAGCGTTTATAAAAGAAAATGGAAATCCATTTTCAGTCAATCCGTTGAAGAATTGGAAATGTCCAAAAAAGGGAACCTGCCTACTGATGCATACAAAGAAAGAAAACGCTGATATCAAGATTAATAATGTACCTGTAAAAGAGAAATCAGTTGTAGATGAGTTAACCAAAGGTACATGTACTTATGGAGATGTTGGTTAATATGTATCAATAAATGTTTAAGCTTCACTCTATGCATTCGAAGAGTTAGAAAATATAGAATGAAAATCCCTCTTTTACGTCAGTAAAAATTTTAAATATATTCATCATGTACTTATTACACTAGCACAAGGGATTTATTAGAATCATGCAATTTATTGTTCTGTGAAAATCAACAACAAACAGAAGTATGAGTTTTACATGTAACAGCATTGCGCTAGGTAACTGTATGTTTTCCTCCCTCTCGCGATTGGTAAATAGCTACTATTGAGACGCCATCTGGTGCCTGTGGTACGATGTAAGTTGCAAAGAACTATCTTAAGTATATTGCATATTTTTTTTACCCCCAGAACAATAATATTTTCTAAAAAAATGATATGTGCTGTATTGTTTAAAATGTAATTTACCAAAACATATTTTAGGTTCAAAGTATATCATTGACATTTTTTGTTTTTATGACGTCACAAGTGTGTTGAATTTTGCATTATGTCGTTGAAAAAGGACAAAATGGACCAAATTCAAACAATTTTTGCTATAGAATTCATAGAACGCAGGTCTTATGTATAATATCATTATACACATTGTATCAAAATATTGCGCCTGAACAGACCTGCGCTCGGTGATTTTTACTCAAAATATTGACGCACTTTTTACGTTTTTTTTTTTTACAGAAATCGTGAAAATTTTAAATTTACGTAATTTTCCTGACATCATTTCAAAGATATGACGTCATTGCTAACAAAAATATTCAGTGCTTTGAAATCAGCAATCATCTTTCTGTTTGATTTTGGGGACAGATATTGATCACTTCCGAATAAAGTCCTAAACTCGGCACTTTAAGCCATTTGGCAGGGAAGAGGGGGGTGTTCTTTTCGTGTCAGCACCTACTGTGACATGGGCCTTCGGTTTGTTTGGTCTCGTCCGAAGGACAAATCTCTTCGTTAATATGTTCCCCAAACGAAGTTGGGGAACATATTGTTTTTACTCTGTTTCTTCTTATTATTATTATGTCGTCCCAGACGAAGTCGGGACGACATATTGCGATTGTACGCATGTTTTTTTGTCCAAGCATTTTCTTGGAGATGGCTGGGACAATCGTCTTGAAACTTTCCTCAAAGGAAGATCACTGGTAGTTGTGGGACCGTTTTTTCAATTTCTTTCAAAATGGCTACTGTTACCATGGAAACCTACAAATAGCGACGAATTGTGTCCGCGAGTGTTCTCTCTGGTCCTTTGGACCTTCTTCATGAAACTTTGTAGTTGTAATGGTTAGTATATGTAATAGTGCGATTTGCATTTAAAAATTGGAAATTGTAAAAAGTTTCCATGGAAACATGTGAAAAGTGTAAATTCTTTTACTTTGATTTTAAATCAAAATACTGAAAGTACTGAAGGGACTGATACGAGTTGATGGTTTTCCAAGCTTAGCTTTAATGGGTTTTGTTTTAGTAATGACAAAATGTGAAAGATTCGTCCAGTCTGGGACGACATAAGCTATTGCTTGCAATGGCAAACTTTCTAGTTAAGGTCTTCCGTCTCCAACGGAAGACCTTATTGTTTTCGTTCGGTTTCTTTTTCCCTTTTATTATTCCAACCGATTTTGTGCACGCAAGTTCTCAGAAACGAACCGTCCAAATTTCACGAAACTTTCAGATCTGGTAGGTATTGATCTGAACCTTATTGGAAATTTTTTTGATTGATGACGTCACTTCTTATCTCGAGATATTTAGGATTTTCTGATTTTCCGAGGGTCGGCTTGTCCGGGAAACTCCTCCGAAACGACTTAAGATATCGACTTAAGATTTTCAATGAAAATAAAGGAAGGTTTGGTGAGTTGTAATTGGGTCTCCAAATCTTTCTAGCGTAAAAGGCGCCGGAGCTCGGTAGGGCCCGAAAAAATGTCTCAGAAATATCTCACAAAATTTGACAAATTTTGTTTCATATCTTGATACCTGTTCATAATTTGTTAAAGCATATTGAAGAAGAAATGTTTAAAATCACAAGATCTTTCAGTTGATACCAATAAAATGGGGCTGACCCCTCAAATTAGGGGCTCAGAGGGGCCAAAAGTCTTTTATCTATAACTCGCTAATGATCGATATTTTGTTATACATTACTGAAGCAAAAGTAGTCATCTTAACAGATTGCAACAATATATGATAAAATTTGATCATATGTTACGTAATTAGGGGTCACAAGGGGCCAGAATGTCAAATCTTTGACGCTTTATATCTCAAAAAGGGGGAAATATTTTAGTAAGCAATATTGAACAAAAGATGGTGAGAATAATGTTCTAAACAATATGCATACTTTGAAATTTTGTAAAACGGCCCCATTAAGGACTTGTAGGAGTGGCCCCTAAATATTTTCATTTAGCATATCTCCACAACGAATAGAAATCTCTGAATAAGTGTTGAACAAAAAATCTTCAAAATCACAAGACCTTTCATTTGATATCGAGAAAAAGGGGCTGACCCCTCCAATTAGGGGCTCAGAGGGGCCAAAAGTCTTTTATCTTTCACTCTCTTATGATCAATATTTTGTTATACATTACAGAAGCAAAAGTATTTATCTTAACGATTTGCAACAATATATGATACTATTTTGATAATATGTTACGTAATTAGGGGTCACAAGGGTCCAGAATGTCACATCTTTAAAGCTTTTTATCTCGAAAAGGGGGAATATTTTGATAAGCAATATTGAACAAAAGATGGTGAGAATAATGTTCTAAACAATATGCATACTTTGAAATTTTGTAAAACGGCCCCATTAAGGACTTGTAGGAGTGGCCCCTAAATATTTCCATTTAGCATATCACCACAACGAATAGAAATATCTGAATAAGTGTTGAACAAAAAATCTTCAAAATCAAAAGACCTTTCATTTGATATCGAGAAAAAGGGGCTGACCCCTCCAATTAGGGGCTCAGAGGGGCCAAAAGTCTTTTATCTTTCATTCTTTAATGATCAAAATTTTGTTATATATTACTGAAGCAAAAGTATTTATCTTAACGATTTGCAACAATATATGATACTATTTTGAGAAAATGTTACATAATTAGGGGTCACAAGGGTCCAGAATGTCACATCTTTGACGCTTTATATCTCGAAAAGGGGGAATATTTTGATAAGCAATATTGAACCAAAGATGGTCGGAATAATGTTCTAAACAATATGCATACCGGTACTTCGAATTTTTGTAAAACGGCCCCATTAAGGACTTGTAGGAGTGGCCCCTAAATATTTCCATTTAGCATATCTCCACAACGAATAGAAATCTCTGAATAATTGTTGAACAAAAAATCTTCAAAATCGAAAGACCTTTCATTTAAAATCAAGAAAAAGGGGCTGACCCCTTAAATTAGGGGCTCAGAGGGGCCAAAAGTCTTTTATCTATAACTCTCTAATGATCAATATTTTGTTATACATTACTGGGGCAAAAATATTCATCTACACGATTTGCAACAATATATGATAATATTTTTATCAAATGTTACGTAATTAGGGGTCGCAAGGGACCAAAATGTTATATTTTTTATGCTTTATGTCTCGAGAAGGGGGAGCATTTTCATAAGCCTTATCAAACAAAAGATGTTCAGAATATATCGTGATCAAAATGAGAAACTTTAACTTTAACTAGGGAAAACTCAATGTCATTCTCTTTAAACAAATATCTCAGTCAAAATCACATCTCATCTTATCTTAAAATTCAACGGAAGACCTACTCGTTGCTCGCAACGAGATCTCATCTAGTTATTATTATTTTTCTTCTCGGGAAAATTTTGTCCGCGAATGATCTTGTAAAGTACACATCTGATTAAGGGGAAACCTTTTTAGGGTAAGAAGGCATGTTATGTAGATTTGCGGAATCAAAGTCATTTTGCGCGCACGTGAAAAATTGAAATGACCAATATATAATGGATATAACCGTAACTTTTCTATTTTTTGACGAAATGTTTTGAAACTCATAATGTAAGGATATATGAGTGTATGCACAAGATGACATGGTCAGAATAGCAAGATCGCACGTGCAAGCACGCGCGCTTCGCTCTGATTGGCTTAAACTAAAGTCTCAATATCTTTCTTGTTTTTGACAAAATCATTTGAAATTTTGAACATAGTCATACATTAGGGAGATCTACAGCCCGTAATAAAAGAAATATCATGAAAGCATGAGCATGCACGTGTGCTTGCAAGAGCTCGCACGTGCAACACGAGAAATGTCCAATATAATTGATACAGACGTAACTATTTGAATTATTGATGGTCTGCTTTAAAACTCATATTAGAAGTATATATTAGAAGCATAGATAAGATGACATGGTCAAAAAAGCAAGATCTCACGCGCATGCACGTGCGCTTCGCTCTGATTGGCTGACACTAAAGTCTCAATATCTTTCTTGTTTTTTGACGAAATCCTTTGAAATTTTAAAGATAGGCATGTATTAGGATATTCTACAATAAGATATATAGCAATTATCATGAAAACGCGTGCATGCACGTGCGCTGCAATCTGATTGGCTTATGCTTTAAATACCTATAACTCCCTTGGTTTTCAACCAAACACGATGGGATTTGGAACATGGATAGATATAATGGACTTCTACAAGAAGACATGGTCTCCATACACATGCATGTACGTGCGCTGCAATCTGATTGGCTGAAACTTTGAACAGCTATAACACCCTTGGTTTTCAACCAAACGGGGTGGGATTTCGAACATAGATTGATGTAATGGACTTCTACAAGAAAGTATGGTCGCCATGCTCATGTGAGCACGTGCGTGCGTGCACGTGAAATGAGTAAAATCAAAAATACACTTGAATTAGCGTATTTTTTCATACTTTTGGATTAATTCTTTGATATTTAGTATTTCAAAATCTATAGATTGTGAAGACAAGATTATATGGTCATTACGCACGTGCATTCACATGCGCACGAGTGCAATGCTAAAAATTGAATGAAATTGGTACACTTCTGGGTAAACGTTGTTACAGTGCAGGGAAATAATTTTGTTACAGCATCAATGCTGATTTTGGTGCTTCCTATGCTTGCTGATTTTGATGCTTCCTTTGCTTGCTGATTTTGATGCTAGTTATCCTTATCCTGATCCTGGTTTGATCCTTATCCTGATGCTGGTTTGAAAGTAGGTCAATGCTAGTAATGCTACCGGAAGTAGGATTATCCTGCCGGAAGTGGATAATTCAAAAACAGCATCGCTATTCTAAGCCATTAAAAATAATTTTTGGGGTAATTTTTATTTGTAATTTGTATTAAATGACTTTCCTTTATCTGTTTTCACTTTGGTCAATGCTAGTTCTATCCTTTGCTTGCTGATGCTGATCCAAGTAATGCTGTTTTTTTTAATGCTGATGCTGATGCTAATTCTATCCTGATCCTACTTATGCTGATCCTGATGCTGGTTTACATAACAAAATTAGTTCCCTGCACTGTAAAGTCTCAAATGCATAGAGTTTGTCTTATTTAATGAAGCTGATAGGGAATATGGCACCAAAAGGGAGTTGGGGAGCGTTTGGGGAACATATGTAACGGTCCCCGTTACAATTAGCACAAGTATATATATATATATATATATATATATATATATATATATATATATATATATATATATATATATATATATATATATATATATATTTTATATTATACAAAGTTACGTGCATTATTGTCACTTTAATTTCAGTTCACAGATACATTATGAATGCTTTCAGTTCATCCTGTGACGAACATAGATTTTGCAAAATATTGAGCTTAAGATTCTTGAGAATCATCCAAGGGGCGTGTGTTGAATTCTTCAAATCTACTTTTTTGCAGGAAATGAGAAAACAGTAATCACCATTTCCTGGAATCGTGGTGCAGTGGTTATTACGACCTGGATCGTTTGTTTGTGCAGTGTTCTAATGGGGGTAATGATTATCAATAACATTTTATACATGCGAAGCAAAATAACAAAATTGTAAGAAAAAGTTCAGAAATAATACTTACATGAAGACACAAAATCGTACATGAGTATATCGCTTTCTAGTACCTTTACTCTTTTTGGATTTTTGCGATGACACTGACTTTGACAGTTGATGGCTAACTTGGACATATACACTTGCGTCATGTACGGACGTTCGGAATTGATAATAGATATGGAAAAAAAGCAAGGAGGTTAAAGTTATGGTATTAGGTCTTTGAAATCTTTTACCAAACAAAAATTATATTTGGTGGTAGAATAAAATTTATTAAATACCTTATTCACGGGAATCAATATATCCTTTTATTTACATTAACGTCAGAAAATAAATAAAAAAGAAAACACATTTCGGTAGGAAAACTCGGCAGCAGCTACTCAAGGCTGTAATGGAAGGTTTAGAGGTTTATATGTTGCCGTTTCCGTTTTAGACAACGTAATATGATTTTTGAACAACCCGTTTTTATCGTTTTGTTAAATGTTAAGATCAATATTTTTTTTCACAAAAGAGCTCCAATATATTTTCCTGGTGTAAAAGTAAGCCGTCGATTGTAAAAGTCGGTGTCTTCGAAAAAGTCTACTACAGTTATTTCGTCTTCAGTTGTCATTTCAATTTTCATTAACTGAATATTTTCTGTTTTCCCTATTTATTTTTTTTTATTTATAAGTATAATCAACTGGTTTTGCATCTACATGTACTAAGGTTTTTTGAAATCTTCCTAATAAATTAATATACCCGATATCTTTTTTTTTACATAATTTTAGTTTGAATTTTGGAGTTTTTCTTTATTTTTTTTTCTTTTAGATCGATGTTTGTGTTTGTTTATATGAAGGAAATGGTACTTTTTTTTGATAGATTTATGACCACCTTAGCTTAATGAGCATGCAGAAGACGTTTTTGGGACCATTTTAATTTACTTTTGTTATTTTCATTTATCTCATTTATTTTACAGGCTAAATGATCAGAGATCACTTGTTCACGTCCTAGGGAATATGATTATTTTATTTTATTTAAATCTCAGCTCGGCTTCCAGCATTATATTTCAAAACTTATTGTGTCTTGCTACCTAAAAGAAGATGTGATTTTAAAGTACTGATATAGACTGAGGCATACACAGTTCGAGTTTAAAGTTATGTTTTTTTTAATTTAGGTCAAACACCAAGTTTTAAGTCAAATGTTTAAAAATATTGATACAAAAAAAACGTCTTGATCAAGGAAGGATGCAGCCCTTGTTTCGATTATGGAAAGATTTTGAGTCTTTTTTTTTTTCTTCTCAAAAATGTCTACTCTCCTAGATAAAAAAAATCAATTACGTAGAGACTGATCCAGGGCCTTTGGATGAGATCGTATAAATCGAAGTGTTCAATGACCATAAGTACAGAGATATAGTAAACTTTCATCGGCAATTGATGAGGGAAAACTTGAAAGAAAGTTTAACAACAAACTATCAATTAGTCATAAAACAAAACTGATGTAACCAAAGAAAAGTAAGCAATGAATGCATACGTGAGCTATTAAAGCCCTCTGAGCAACTGTTTAACACAACTAAACAAAGTTATTGGTTTTTAATTGAAGTTCAAACTCAATATCAAGGTCATTAGGTAATATGAAGATACCAGAAACTCGATTTCAAAACAAAAAAAAAATTGAGATCATGTATTAAAGAACAATTTTTAAAGCAATAAGCCACAAAGTCTGATTAATCTGTTTGTAAACCTTGAGCTCTCTCTTTGTTTTTTAAGATGTAATGTCCCTCTGCTTGGAAAAAGATACAAGTAACTTTCCGAGGTAATTATTTCATTTAATTCAATAAATTGTCTTACTTTACCTAAATGTTTTATTCCCAGTTCCTTTTAAATGTTATAATTGAGGTATTTTTTTCTTTTAGAAAATTTTATTTTCTAATTGTTTCAGAAATCTGAGATGAATATGAATACATATATATCAATATGAATAAAATATATTTTAAACTAAATCGGAGATGTAGAAATGTTTTAATTAATATAACCAATAATGCTTAGATGTCGAAAAATCCTGTAGATGGATGCATTTTTATTTTGCAAGCACAGAAGAGAATTTGATATTCTGATTTGAAAAGCAAGCTTCATTATGTTTCCTAATATGGAATTAGAAAGGTATAATAGCAAATGGTATTTACATAAATCTCTTTTTTTTACTTTTAATAGTGAAATAAAAAAAATATTGATCCGTCTGTTCACTAAATCAAATTGCCTACATATCATTCATTAGTGAGAGAATAAGCAACGCTTCATACTTCAAAACTTTTTGCCCCCAGCTAAATATACTGCATGCAAACTCGGTCTGTCTGGCCGTCCGCTCTCTGTCTGTTTTAACACTTTTGTTTTACGGCGTATATCGAGAAGCATTTAAGAAGCACTGTATCTATTATTTACAAGTCTATATAATCATGTTTATGAATCAAAGTAGTTTTTTTTATTTTTAATTAATTTCTCCTAAAGTTTCCTGATTTTTTTAACTTTAAAAATACATTATTTACAATAATTAATTATCAAAATTGAATTGCAAAGAGGAATAGCTTCTCAAAGTAGACTACAAATTTAGTCGTGACCAGAACCAGAACACTCGACTGATTGTTCCAGATGTAAAAACAAATCTGGTAAATTACACACTGGCCTATTAAAAGATTGACTTTGTTTGTTTCCTTTGATATCCTTGGGAGTGGAGAAGAGTTCAAAAGAAATAATGCATTCAGACTTCAGATTAAACACAGCCAAACCCTTACGCCAAAACCCATCCAGGATCATTAATTTTACAGATTTAGAAGAGGAACCCTCATAACTTTGAAGATTTTCAACGAATTTACACATTTTTCATTAATATTAATGGAACCCGCAACTCCAATGAGAAACAAAAGCCCTTTATCTTGGGACCATGAAGTTTTAAAAAAACATTTAGAAGCTAAATCTTATCATCATAACTATGCATTTTGTTTATCTGTTAAGCACTAATGATTAGACAGGTTTATGTAACAGAATATACATGTATGTATTTTACTGCATAATTAATAGAACCCCGCATTTACACCAGAACTCCTGACCAAGAGACTGTAAAATTCACAGTTTTGGCGAATGTACTCTTCCTCATCATAACTAAATACTAAGTTACTTGATTGATACACAGGAGCAGAGGCGAAGATTTTTAAATAATTAATGTCTTTTTTTTCACTGTCTAGTCAATAGAGCTCCTACTGAACACCAGACCCCAGACCCAAAGGCCATGAAATTCACATGAAATTCGCAGAAACAACCTTGCTCATCATAACTGTGTATTTATTAGTTTGTTAAATACCCAGGAGCAGAGGCGGCGATTTTCAAAGAATTAAATATAAGGTATTTTTCACTATCTAATCAATGGAACCAGACTCCCAGACCCAGAGGCTAAGAAATACACAATGTTTGAAGAAATGCTTTTGCTTATCGTAACTATGTATTTACTTTGTATGTTTGATATCCAGGCGCAGAGGAGAAGATTTTCAAAGAATTGATGTATATTCATATTATATTAATATGATCTTTATAGCCCCGCCCTAACACCAGAACCCAGATCCTGCAGCCACGAATTTCACAATTTTGGTAGAAGGCTCACTGCTTATACCAGTCATGTCAACAGTTTGACAGGGACACTTAAATTCTTGTTTTCCTTCACCCTTGGGTGCTTTATGCCAAAATTGGTTAAATTTGGTTAGGCAGTTCTAGATAAGAAGCTGAACATGTTAAAATATTAACACACAACACACGACAGACAAAACAGATAGCAAACTATGAGAAATGAGATTTCCAATAAACAATGGAACTATAAAAGGCAGTAGAAATTGATTCTGGGTAGTATGCCAGGAGTCCTTACGTGTACGCGAAGGTCATTTATGAACAGAACATGTACGCGCCTAAAAAATGAGATAATTATAATATTTATTGGAGGAAGAAGGCTTTCACACTTACATGTACATATATGAATTACACTGAACATGAATATTTAATCACAATTCGTATATTAATAATTCTTCTGTGATTGATACTGGTTCCCATATTTATTATTTATTCAGAAAATTAAACGTGAATTAATTATTTTCTACCAGAAGAAGCTTTAATAGATCTTATCATTATATGGCCAATTTAGACTATCGGGATACTCTAAAGATAGAGTTTTCTTAAGTATTGGGGCTTTTTAAAAAAAATCTTTGTTAATTTTAAGTATTATTTTTCAGTCATGATTATTTTTACTGACATGACAATTTAATTATCGTTAATGCCAAGTTCTATAAAACTCAGTTTTAAGTGTTTTATTTGTAAATGTTAGAGTGTACATCTGTAAATCTGGAAACTTCAGATTATGTACAAAATTAATTAATCCCGAAAGAAATTTATACACATTTCATTTATCACATTTTTTTCGCATTAAATAAATTGAAATTAGGGTCATTGTTTACCAGCATGTTCAATGATGTGTAACACTGATACAAATACCCAAATAACATATATCGATTTTTCTGCCCAAAGGCGATTGAAACAATGGGTGTTGATACCATCTTATAAACATTAATCGGCCAGGTAAACACTAGCAAAACAGGAAAGAAATAAATCACAATTCCCGGTATTTTCATTTTTTGAAAAAATAAATATACTCTTTTAATAACATTTATTAATTAAAAGCTACCAGTAATTAATTAATTCCCCAATGATTATTCACATACATGTAGATTATGTTACGGGAGAATAGTAGCATAATTTTATTTCATGGTCATTTAATAAATTGTTGGGTTTTACTAAAGGGTTACATGGAATATTCTTTTTTTAGCGTGGTCCTTATAAAATGTGTAACATTTTTATATTTTTAAATAAATTGTAATGATTATTTTTAAATACAAATTAAAATTTAATATTAAATAATTAAAAAAGGCCCACATGTAGCTATTTTTTTTTCTCATTAACTTGTAGTTTATTTTTAGGGATAATAATTAAAATTTCTCATGAATTCCTTATTTATCAACTTTATTTTTTTTTTAATTTATTCTAAATACACATTAATTTGTGTCAGTATACAGTCCCTGAAAATATAAATTAACTATAATAATCTCTACTTATTTAAAGAATGTAAGAAATCATTGCTTATTAAACAGTTTAAACTCCTCTCTGCTGCAAGTAAACAAAACAATAGGGAGCCTGCAAATTCAGAATATACAAGGGGGCGGAGCTATCATGTCACTCAGAACCTTTTTCACACATGAGTGAACAAAGCAGTCCCAGAAAGCAGTCCCAGGGGCAGCTGGGACTGCTGGGACTGCTTTTCATAGCAGTCCCAGAGCAGTCCCATAGCGGTCCCAGAGCAGTCCCACAGCGGTCCCAGAGCAGTCCCACAGCGGTCCCAAAGCAGTCCCGGGGACTGCTTTCTGGGACTGCTTTGGTGTCAGGTTGGGTCTGGTCGGTACTGTAATGTGACCTATAAAGGATGGAATTTCGAGCCGAGGAATATTTCCCTCATTGAAAAACTCGTTGACAAAAATTTTATTTCCAGAAAGCTGGAAATGTGTTTACATGTACGTTCTACCAATGTTTATAATGATCTTTTGTATCGACTAATTATAGACAGGTGTCATTGTTGAGCTGTGCAAGGAAATTTATGGAATGTATCGCATATAAACATGTTTATAATTTACGTGTTTATCAAAATACTTTATGTGACAATTTTCAAGGAGGTCTTTTGCCAGGACACAGGATTGTTACATGTTAGAATATTAATGCAAATAAATTTGCAGCACGGTATATGTATAATATATCTAAAGTAATCGACAGAAGATGGCATAAGGGTTTTCTCTTTGTTTCACGGAAACGGTAAATGTGGAAACATTCTAACCTGGCTGAATAGCTACTTGTAATGCAAAACAAGAATATAAGTAATGCAGCTGGTGCACAAGACTCAGTCCTTGGTCCGGGAAATTACTCTTTTGGAAGATGTACATGTATCAGAATATATAAATTCATTGTGTATATTGTCTGCAGATGTAAACACGTTAAACGTCCATCATGCAGGGAGCAAAAACTGTATACAGGGAAATTTTCGCCCCCGTTTAATTTTCGCCCTCGTCGGAAGTGAGCGAATTTAAAACGGAGCGAATTCAAATTTAACAGTACATTATCTGAAACAAAAAACTTTCTGGGCGAATTTAAAACGGGGCAAACCTGTTTCCAAATATGAAAGGGCGAAAATAACATGGGGCGAAAATAACCCGGTATACAGTATACAATAAGATATTTGATAGATGGTTATCCAAGTAGCTAAGGAATTCCAACTCAAAACAAAATTTTCGAAACTAAGAGTACATTTCCCGAATAACTATATTTCCTTACTGCGACATCAGTGATGTACATAAAAATACTTAGTCTTTCACAATGTTTTAAAACTACAATGTAGTCAAGATCTATCAACTGGTGTAAACAAATAAGCAATATTGTAAAAAAAAAAACCAAAAATGTATTTACAACATGTAATAGTATATGATGTTATATCCTAAACTGATAATTTTGCAAAAGAAAAGTTTTGATCCATCTGAAAAAAATATGTTTACTTAGCCAGTTACACATGACAGTATAGGTTTAAATATTAAATCTATTAATTAGGTATTATATATTCAATATTAAACATTTATTGACCGAGTTCAAGAGCAACATGCGTTCTGTTGGTTCCAAGAACCAAACTGTCTGTCTGACGCCGTTTGGTTCGAGGGTCGAAAAACGCAATTTGCTCGAGAACTCCGTCAAAAATGTCTTGTTATACCTTTCATTTAATTTCATTTTTGACAAACTTGTATTTTGTTTTGTCTTCCGTGATGTAACCTAAGTTCCGTAACTGATTGAATGACAATGTTATAAAGTTCCGCCCATTCTGTGACGTAGGCAGTCCAACTTTTCAACAACCTGTCCAACCTATCACTCAGCGGTCAAACATCGATTTCTTTTGTCCGCTCGACAAACTACATGTATTTGAAATGTTAAACTTTTGTATAGGAACGATTTTTAAAAGGAATATTAAACTTTCTTAAATGTATTAAGTTTTTTACTTAATTTTCTTATCAAAAGAATGTTTATGCCTGTTGATACTACATGTAAGTGCATTTTAATCATAACATATAAAGTGACGGACACAACTACGGTGCACTAATTACCGGCTAAACCATGAGAGGGTCAGAAATAGAAAATAATGTGTTCTACTAATTATTCGGACATTATGCAAAAGTGAGCCGACAACTCTACTGACTTGCCTCTGATAATGTTATACTATCTCCTACGCATCTAGTTGGATGGGTATAGAACACATAGGATCTTTTCTTATATAAAAAAAAAAAAACAATTATACGCTAATCAAAAGTACTCTAAAACACTTTGATAGGAGGAACAATGAAAAACTATGTATTCATTAAGATGTGATCTGATTCCCGTTTCCAAATATGGAGGGAGCGACCAAAGACAGGTTTGCCTGCTGCTCAATCTATTTCAGTGAATAAGATATATTTTAAACTAAAACAAATAAGTGACACTAGTTTTGTATACTCCAGTATAAAACCTAGTGCGCGCTTGGTATCAGCCATCGTTGGCTCCGAGACCTTTTCTTTGAACTCTTATAAGTTTTACAGTGAAAAACTCTTAGTACCTTTTTGACTTAGTTGTAAACTTGTTGTGCAATTCCATGGTGGACTTGATAATAAAACAATTATGTAAACTTAAACAGTCTTTTAAATAACGACTACTGTCATAAGCCCCCTAGAGGAGGTCGGTGATCTCACATCTTGGAATTTGTTAATGTACACATATATGTCTGTATAATTATATAACATTAAATATATGTAATGCTATGTCTAAAAGTTTCCTCCAACTATCTTTAATCAAAGAGGGGTTTCCTGCTTTAAAAAAATACTTATACATGTATATCTAAAGTAAGAGGGTAAAATTTAAAAAAATATATATTAATCTTTCATGGATAATAATTTCTTTTTCTTTCGATTATAGGGGAATGCTCAAAGGTGCATGGAATCGTTGCCTACTTTGAAAAAGATATCATCATGTCCAGTTAATGCTGCACAATGGAATGCCGCAGCACTGCGGAAGAGATGCTCCAAGGTTGAACAGTCATGTTGCTCACGAAAAGATTTTGTATATCACTGCTTAGTCAACGCTTTTGGGAATGAGACAGTAGAAGTGTGTGCTCAACGCAGGAAAACAAGTTAGTAGTCGATTTAAAATTCTTTCATTATTTTTTTTTTTATATTTGTTATAGTATAACAGTTACTTTAATCTTCCAGCCCTTGTGCGTGTTCCTTGGTATGCATTAATGTTTTGATAATACAGAATTTTTATGACAGCTGCAGTTAATAAACATGCAAAGATTCTCTAACAAAATTGTTATAATCTGTTTGTTAACACCATTTATATGTTCTTAGTTCACGTATTGCTATCCGTTTTTGTCCATCGTCTAGAGTCTTGTGCCGTGCGTAAACATTTGTACATTTTAAACTTCTCTCTGGAACTGCTGAATCAGTGTAAATCGATGAGACCTTGAAACCCTAGGAACCGTGTCACGGCAGGCAGGCTATTTCACAATAAATATAATAATTTCTCAATGCTCAATTACCTATATGTCGCGAACAAAGGTCAAAATTTGGAGCCCTTCTTCGGTATATGGTGACGTCTCTATATGATTAAAAAATCTCGAATTGGACGTAAAAGAAGGTCAAGTTAATTGTACTGTAGTTAAGTGCAAAATCATTGAAAAGCATTAATCTGATCGTTTCTGGGTCTATGTATATATCACAGTGGGTTAAATAATAGACCCGTGACGTCATAACTGATGATCAGTATTAGCAGAGTGAACGTGAAACGTAACGGGAATATTCATGTAAACTTATGGTTAATGGGAATTGAAGCATTTTATTTCGATCTTATAAACAACATGAAAAAATGGGAAGGTTTGTCAGAATAATTAATTATACTAAATAATTATTTCTGTGATAAGACAGTAGGATTCTAGCAGCACTTTTTATGATCCAGAGTTGTGTTTACATAACATTACATAACATAGACATCAGGCGATGTCCTCGTGGTGAAGTGTTTCCTGTCGTCCCATTGAAGTCTAAAGAATGAATAAATATGGCGAAAGTTTTATCCATGATTTTTCCGATTCATTAGTGTAACATGTTATCAAAAAAGTGTTAATTAGCCGAATTCTAATCCGTGTACTGCTTTAACAAACCTGCAATGTTATACATGTATACGTAGATATCTTGAATATACTTGTCAAGAAATCCTTTAGATATATAGTGTACATGTAACATATCAGGAGTGACATACCTTTACTATTTTGCTAGTTACATTACTATCAAATCAAAAAGTTTGATTTCTTCCACTGCAAATCAATCTTGAATCAAGTACCTTTAAAATTCGAAACAGATGAAAAGAAGGCAAGTGATCCAGCAAGAAGATATATTGATATATTTTAATGACCGTTTATGTCTAGGTACTTTGCTCCTTATAATATTTATGATCTGCACTTTTATGGTTAAATGACCATTCAGTTTTATCAAACACTAAATACAAAATTCATTTTTTTGTTTGTTTGATTTAAAATTCGCTAATAAATTAAGACAGGACAGTTTTAAATGTTTTAATCATATTACATAATCTTTAGGAAGTCAACCGTCAATTTACCTACAAAACAAATCGTTTTTTATCGAATTTCAAATCAAAATGGAAATATTTTCTGATTCTTAAGTATTATTGTTTTATAGATTACTGTGTTGAATTCAATAGTCTGGGTGCATTAATACAACCAAATTTTGAAATGAATTGTACTAGCAGTACGATTCATTGTGGAAAGTTTTATAATTCAACTGATATGTATAAAGGTAAGTATTAAGTATTACACTTTAAAACGAGAATTGATCCAAAAGTAATGTTACAACTGCTATAAAACCTTTACGAAATCAAAGTTCTAATATTTGAAAGGTAAAAATCAAAATATGTATGGTACATCTACCACTAGATGAGGTTTTTTTTTCATATGAGAACAAGTACAAACAAAATTAATCGAACTAAACATACAACCGTGTACAGAGTTCATGAACGAAATATATGAAGAAAACGAACAGTATTTAAGCTCCTCTAAAGTTCACTAAACAGTTAAAACCAAGAGAAAAGATAAAACAGACCTCTTAAACATCTGAAGGTGGGATCAGGTGCTATGGAAAATTGGGCATCCCCTGTAGACCTGTCACACCAAACTTGTACATGTGCTCATTGTCATAATCGGGAAATACCGGGAAATCTGTCGACAATCCAGTGTGTATAAAATGGTCTAACAAAGATTGTATTTGCTGACAAGGGCATTGTTTCGAAAATGGAACTTACGAAATGATGACCTTAAACGAGATATTCGTATCTAGTCAACGTGTTTATTAATGATTTACCTCGTTTTTTAGCATGCTGTAGCGTATTGTATGTCCTATATCTACCTTAATTTTTACATAGGTAAAGCTAATTTTTTTTTTAATTTGAACATATTTTATTATGTACTAAATACATAAATGGATTGGGCAGCAGGCATAGCCTATATAAGCCCTCTCCAGTGGTATAACTGAAGGGCATGTCAGAGAATGTCATTTGTAACCATAAAATGGATCAGCATTCCATATAAAATTCATAATCTTTCAGAATAAGGTAACATGTACACCTTTTACGGAAAAATTTTATACAGCAGGAGTAAATTAATGTAATTATTGGATGATAGATGTTTAATTTAAAAAGAATTTTCTCTGTTTTTTTTTTCTATTGGAGTATAAATCTTCCTTTGATGTTACGTTACCTGGCAATATTATTGCTTACAAAATATTAACAATTTAGTAAGCAAATAAAACTTATGATTTAAGTTAATTCTCTAACTAGATAGGAAGATGCATTCAAACTGTTTAAAATTCTTTGTTTTATTTCGCTAGTATACGAACTTGTTGACATCCTTTCGCATGCTATGTTTAATATAATACATATCCGATGAGTGGTTTATGGTTAACGTATAAGTAGGTTTAAACATATTGCAAAAGCGAAAATAGACTTTCTCTGAAAAAAACCCATTATAGATGTACTTAATGAATCGAAAATATTATATTGAATTCAAATCAAAATACAGAATATTACACGGCTTAAGCTCAGAACATAATTAAAGGTGATATGCATTACATATATAAAAATACCATTTGTTGGAGGGAATTGAGAATTTTTTTCAAAGGAAACACTTTTTGATCGTTTGTCATAATTACAGAATATATTTCATCTCCTTTAATGTATATTCCAAAATATAAAAAAAAAATTGTTCTACTTTTAGTGCCACAATGTATTTTGGTATCGAAATTAAAAGTAAATACCACACAAAGTGAAACAGCACAACCTCTCACTTTGAATACAATTTCAACAACAAGAGCAAATTTTCATTCGACATCTACATCGTATTTTGAGATCTCAACTAAAAGACCGAGAATATCAAGGTTAGAAATTTTATACCCACTACTGAAAAGTGCATGAGATAATTTTCTTTTAATTTTAAAAGTTTAAATATCAACAGAAAGTCTCTTCCTCTCTCTCTCTCTGACATGTTAAGAGGTGTCAAATTAATAATAATAAAATAACTACATGTGTAATCTAACGATGCAATGCATGAAAAAATTAAGCTCCTTCAGTATGATTCTTTCTTGAATAGATAACCGGACAGCCATCCTTTAGTCACTTTCTGTATAAATAAGTACTAACATGTACATTTATGTATGTTACTTGCAAAAAATCTATCGTTGTTTCGTGATGTTGCATTAATGTTCTCCTATTTACAGAAATACGGGACAGTCCTCAGCTTGGATATATGCTATTATAATAGTAGTGCTAGGATTATTTGGATATGCAATCTATACCATTTATGCATTCATCAAGTTCTTAATGAAACGTAGAAAACCCCATAAAACAGTAAGTTCTCTCTCTCTTTCTCTTTCTCCCCCTCTCAGCCTGTGTGTGTGAGAGAGAGAGAGGGTGAGGGTGTGTTTGTTAGGGTGTGTGTGTATGTGTGAAAAACATGTAGAGGTATTTATAAAGTGCTTTATATATATTGCTTTATATTTATATATATTTATTTTAATATATATATTTCCAGAAAATGAAACAAGAAACAAGAAAAGAAAATGATGTTGCAGAATACAAAGATTTAGTTTCATGTCATTGTATGGAAGATGTGAATAACCATGACTGTCTTGATGTTCTGGAAAACAATGTGTCTTGAATATTTTCTATGCCAAATTCATTAAAAAATTGGCAATTTTTTTTTTACATGATCTCTTTAATATATTTGTAATGTGACCTCGACTTAAACTTTTTTTATGTTTGACCAAGCTATAATAATAATTATTGTCTAAGTATTAGTTGCATATCTGTAGCTTACTGGTCTGAACAAAAAATACGACCAGGGAGATTCCGTGCCACACATATCAAAAACTGTATATTTATTGTACGCAAAAGCTGCGCTCAGTTTTGGACTTTTTTCTCAAACTTTCTACATCAATTGCAAACACAATTCAACAATGACACTGGCCTATAGTAAAACATAATAGAACAATTTTCCTATTCAAAAAGAGAAAATACATGAACTGTGCTTCTTTCCATGTAGAGGGAAAATATATTCCTTCAGAGATCTATTAAACAATAAACAAAGCGGTTTAGCAAGAGTAGATTTGCTGATTTTAAAATCTTATGATTAATATTGTCATGACCAATGACTTTGTCGGAAGTATAATTACAATATAAATTAATTTTTTGCTCAATAATACATACTCTTCCACTTCCAATGTTACATAAATGATACCCCTCAGGTAATTCTTAACAAATATCATCAACACTTGAAACGTATATAAATTAATTATTGAATTATCTTTTTTCTCTTCATTTGAATAAACAATATTTGTCCGACCGCTATCTGTTATATATTGTAATGATTGAATATCAGAGGTAATTTTGGTTTTAAAAACACCCTTCACTATTTAGCAGTATAATACTAGCATCCGTAAGAATTTATTGTATTTTCATGATATATGAGATCTTAAAACCATGTTTCTGTAAAACACAATCGGTATGTATTTTAGCAAACTTGAAAGTTAACCTTAAAAAAGAAGCGAAGACTCACTCATGTCTCAAACTGTGTCATAAATACAATTACAGCTAAAAATCCAACATTTAGGAAAAGAAAATATGAACTTTACTGTTTTATTTCATATTTTTGTCAAAGTTAATTGCTCACGATATATTTAACAAATTTAATTGTTTGATGTTACTTCCAAGTTACACTATTGGTACATTTGATCAGTTATATTTTGAGTGCCATGTTTGAGGCATTGTTAATTTTGCATCAGGAATCTGGGGAAATCATAAAGATGATAAAATGAATGCTGAAAAATAACATCTTGACTTTTGTATGCAAATATTACGAGTGTAAAGAATAACATGTAATGCAGCTGTTTATGCTGAGTTACGTAGACTTCTCTGTTGTACAAATGACAATGCAAACAATTATAAAGTTATGTATAAGCCATTGATAATTATATTATTATCGGCCGTTCTATTTGTTTGTTAGAAAGTGAACATGGGGATGTGAGACGTTATATATATATATATATATATATATATATATATATATATATATATATATATATATATATATATATATATATATATATATATATATATATATATATATATATATATATATATATATAGATAATCCAATAAAAAGTCTCAGTGGTCGGTATTAAATACTTAAAATAAAAAAGAAAACACGATGCTGAAGTTCATATTCGGTAAAATGCTTTTAATATAAGATTATGTATAAATTCATGAGTAAAAAAATCAATAGTTAGAAAAATTTAATATGAATTGTTATCATGTTTCAACTTCATTATCATTTCTCATCAGATAATTGACAATTTATGGTTATACAAAAAGAGTTTAAATCAGAATCTCCTTGGCCTGGGAGTGGGTAAGATATAAAAGTAAATCGTCCTGATTTTCCGGACGTTATTAGAGCAAATTGTTAATAAAAATTGAAAAGTTGTTCAACTAGTAAAAATTATTGTGAATATACTGCAGATGCGAATGGCACACAGGTCATCTTTTACTCATTTTGGACCGCACCTTGCAGCATAACCTACTTTGCAGAAATCAGTAACATTTTTCAAGTGACAAAGATCAAGGGTATTACCACGTAGTTAATCTTGAGAGGCTTTCTTCTTCATTTTGATGACAATAAATTCTTATCATTTATCATTGAATTTATAACATCGATGAATTCATTTCATGAGCAAATGCACATTTTTTTTTATTTATTTGATTCTTTAAAATTACTTCTTTTGCTTTGAAGGCAGTCTGAAATAAATGTGATCACTTTAACAGCTTTGAATATTTTTAAATTTCCCAGCACAGAGGCTTTTTTTTAAATATGAAAGTACCTTTTAAAAATGCAAAATGTTGTTTGCGTCCGATTTGATTCTTTGCATTAATTTTACTTGTTAGAAATTGTTATAAGAAGATGTATATTACAGTGTATTCGTGAATTGCGAATGTTACGGCGTAAATTACGAATTTTTGACTTCTTATAAATTACTGTTTAAATTAACTTTTCAGAATTTGTGCAAAATGCTATAATAAAATCTTTTTTATTTTTTTATTTTTGGCAATTGCAATATATTCTGTAAAATCTACACAGCCTTAATTCCACCCTGTGCAAAGTCTGAGATGAATAGTATATATGTATCCCTTAATTGACTACTGTTTTATTCATTAATACTTAATCTTTCATTATTTTTTATTCTTTAATATTTGTGCTGCCAAATTGTCAAATTTAGCTTATTTTTGTTTGATAATTGATTTTTTTAAATACTTTTAATAAATCCCTCTATTTTACTCTGTCTTTGTTCCATATATACGTGATTTGTTGGTAAAAGTTAAAGTAAGTTGGAATCAGACCTTCGGTGCTGATGCATCACAAACTCATGCAAAAGCTTATTCCATGCTAAGCCTTCATAAAATTACCTTTGTAACTCATGTTTGTGTCTTTGAGGTTTAAAAAAAATCTGGGTTTAACAATAAAAAAAAAAGCTCACGGCTATTGAAAAAAAATAATTCTAGCTAGGTTTTAAAAATGTTTATCAAGTTAAAATTATCCTCACACCTTTTAGCTATCGAAACTTGGAGATATGATAAAACTAACAAACAAGAGGAAATGTTTTCATGTCATAATTGTGTTGAGGACAAAGATAGTTTTCTACTAGAATGTCCTATCTATAAGGATTATCGAAAGAAAATTTATTAAAAATATTTCTTTTAAAAGCAATCCATGTTTGAATAATTGCAATTGTTCAGTACTGAGAACTAGGTATACGAATATGTGTACATTAGTAAAAATATTTATTATAGCTTGAGTCGACGCTCTTGTATTCCAATAATTGTATTTTCCTTCTCTTAATAATTGTATTTTTTCCTTCTCTTTTATTTTACTACTTTGACCGCGGAACATTAATTGGCAAGATTGGAAATATTCAGCTTACATCATTTGTATCTGTACCAATCAAAACATTCAATGATACACAATGAAATGAGCGGGTACAATTCAACGCAGACAGCCGAGAAGAAATTAGATTGAAATTTTAGTTTGAAATTAATTTTCAATTCACCACAACTACGCTAGAAGGCACATTATTGATCCAGAAGACAAATAATTTCAATATAAGTTACTGTATAGTTTGAAAATAATATATAAATCAGAATCTTATGTCCAGCGTTTCAAAAAAAATATACGAAGGAACTAATGTATTCAAGCTCAAAAGTCCTTGAGATCTATCATATGCAATGAAGGAGTTGAACATCTCCTAATGACCAGACATATCCACCTTTTGCCCTATGTCATGATCGGGAAATAAAGAAAAAATCTGTCGACATTTAGTGTATCAATAATGCCTAACGATAAATATGAAAAAATGTCATTTGCCTGATTTATACAATGTATTTGCTGACAAAGACATGGTATTGACCTGCCTTTTGTCATTATAACCATATTGGAGGCGGGTGGTATCATTAAGTGAGCTCACTGCTCAAAATGCCTCTAGTTTTTGTTTGTTTTTTGTTTGCATCAGTTTAATCCATGGACAATTATAGTTTTCTCTAATTTATTGTATCTTTTTTGTATTATCAGCGTTCACAATTTTCAGGCGGATTCCCCGGTCCAAGAAAAAAAAACGATATATGTATTCTAATGTAAGGAGATATAATAATACTTTTGTTTTTGACCTGTCTTTTTGTCTGCAATTTAAATATCGCCATAACTTTTGAAGTATGAAAGATAGAGACTACATATTTGGTATGCATACTCCACTAATTACGCTCTTTCAAATAATACCAAGGTCAATGATCTTGTAACCTTGACTGTGACCTATATACTAAATATAACCTTAACCTTCGCCATAAATTTTGAGCCATGGAAGGTAGAGACTTCATGTTTGGTATGCTTTCTTCACCAATTAAGCTCTTTCAAATGACCTCAAGGTCAATGACTTTGTTACATTGACTGTGACCTATATGCTAAAATAGTATTTAACTCCCACATTTTGTTTTCACTCATACAATGTATAGAGACGTCACCATATACGGTTGAAGGGCAACACATTTTGATCTTACTCGGCAACCAAGGACATTGTCTAGTGTGGGATCTTTATTGTGCCAACGCCTGCACATGTTTAGGTTATATACAAAGGTCCCGTAATTTTACTTAAAAGTACCGATTGCCTAGCAATGGACCAGTTGCTATTCTTTTTTATCGACTTAGGTCAATCGAGACAGAGATTTGAACTCCCGACATACCAAACATAGAGCGAACTACCGTGGTAGTCAGCACATAATTAGAATTAAATTCACTTTGCAACCCATTATGACCATTGACCACATTCAACCTATTATTATGTAAATTAAAACTACCTTTAATTTTGTAATTTTACATTTGTCATTCTGTAAGGTCTAAAATATTTTATCGTAAGTTTGAAATGAAACTCAACAGCGACAGGGCCGGGTAATCATAGTTTGTCTTTTTTATGAATTGATAAATTAGTAAGTTATAATTTTTTTAATTTTAAATTTCAATTGAAATCAACAAGAAGGAAAACAGAGTGAAAAAGTAAGGTATACATGTATATGAAAAATATGAAAGAGGTTAAAAGAACAGCGTATAAAAATTTCAATACAGTTGCGGACCAGCAACGGTAACAGGTATTGTAGCAAAGTGGTGTGATGTTCTACATATATTCGTGAACTT